CTTTTGTGGCTTTTGTTCATCTTCCATTGTGTTTTTACTTAGTGATATGTATTTTTTCTGCTGTAATACATAGAATGGGAAGTCTATCATCTTACCAGTCTATTGTTTATTTAAATATCAGGCAGAATATGATCATACTTTCTGAGTAAGTGTGTCTATGAAAAGGATGGTGGGTTGTGGTGTTTGGTTATGATTTCATGTTTTCACAAATCCCCTTTGAGATTTTGTTGTTGATATTAAGCCTGGCATTGATTTCAGTAATGATTCAAGAATACATTTGAACTCATGGTCCTCATTTTTTTACCTCCAGAGTAGTCCAAGTGTAGATAATCTACTCCCAATGTGTGCTATTTTCTAAGAAAACAATGTTACTTTTAAAATGCTTAATACATAAAAATATAAGAAATATTAAACACTTTATGTGTGTATTCAAAGCCATATTTTCATGTATCTGGTAGAAATGTAATAAAGTAGAATAATCAGCAATCAGTTGTTTATCTTACATCATCAGGGCAGGGTTGTTGTGAGCAGCTTGAGGGGTCCAGGATACCTCACCCTCCAGGGCTGAACTGTCCCCTTGCAATTCCAGCCATCAGAGCTGTGCTAAACAGCTCCTGGTGTTCAGGACACCTTTAGGGAAGAGCTGCTCTTCTGAGAAGCTCGAGGAGTGTGGGATACCTTGCACTCCAGGGCTAAATTGTCTCCTTGCAGTTCCCGCCATCAGAGCTGTCTTAAGCAGCTCAAGGTGTTGCCTGACTCGCAGGTTATCAGGACACCTTTCCCCAGAGTTGTTACAACACATTTACCTATATTGTTGTTGCCAAAAGCCAAGACCAAACCAAAAAAGTGGCATACAATTTACTTACAGCTATTCTGACTCTAGGCCAGCAGAGGCAGGCTGTTTAGATGATGGGAGGTGGAAGTGCATGAGCTCTCTCAGTAGCTTTGTTGAAATAGCTGTCTAAGAATTTACTTAGCATCTACTCCACAGGTGCTAGATTCCTCTAGAATCTGTGAAGATGTTTCTCCTGTATTCAAAAACGAATTCTACATGATCATACCTGTGACAATGGAGACAAAAATAACATCATGATCAGTTTTGAGAATAGGACTCAACATCATGACAGATTTATAAATTCCCCAAAGGAATATCTATGTGTCACTAAAATAAGAACACTGGCAGAAATCTAATGCTCAAAGTGGTGTTCACAATTTTCACCAAGGTATCTTCTGGGAACTGTGAGATTGGTAAATCCTCATGTCCAACCACAGATCCGTGATTGCAGGAAGTAATGGGATATACATGCTTCAAAAGCCCTCTCTGGGGAAGTCAGCTGTCTCCTCTATTTGAAGGGAAGTGGTTATCCCAGCTATCTGGTTCTCTCTGCCCTCATGGCATATGCTCCAAGTAACCAAGGAGATAGCCTCTTCAGGGTTATTCACAGCTGCAGACTCTCAATTCAAATTGGCTGCAGAGTCTACAAACCTGTGGGTTTATGAGTCAGGAGAAAATTGCCATAGATAAAATTCACCCCTGTCCTTTAGAGGTTCCCAAATATCTTGACAGGTCACTAACCTTCTAACCATTGATGGAGAAGACATATAAGGGCAGAACATGGTCACCAGACTCAACAAGTCACCTAACTTACAACTCTGGTCACACAGAGCAGCTGTGAAGTACATAAAGTTAGCCAGTATGGTTGAAGTACAGTGATGTCCTGCCGTGAAATGAGCACAACTCATTAATCCCTCCCTCTTTAATGTTGGTCTCAAGTTCAGTCTTCAATGCCTATCCTCCAGAAGGGATGAAAGCCAAGAGTTCCCAGCATAAAGCATTGGCCTTACCATTTCGTGTCCTCTGAGGCAAAACAATTAATATCCTAGAATCCTTGAATTATAAGAGCCATAACTAGCAGGGAAGTTCTGTTGGTTCCCAGAGACTCCAACTTTTTGTTCCCCATTACTGGAAGATTCAGCTCAAACCCACTTCCTCCAGGAAACTCCACTTTTCCTGCACAGAACTCATTGCACCATTCTCTCAACCATTTCTTCCTCGAAGTTTTACACTGAGGCTGAAGGTCAGCTTTCTTCTGTCACTCTCTAGTCTCTCTACCCTCTCCATTCTGTTTCCTATTAAACTCTTTCGTATGCCATCATTTTCATCAGTAAATGGTGAAGGCACTGAATAAACTTCCCAAGGGCAGGTGGTGTTACCACAACATAGTTGACATCACAGAGGATGCCAGGGCGCTCCAGGATACAATGGAATGTCTAGGGATGAACTGCAGATATCATGGGAACTGACATTGCTTCCCTGCTAATCAGCTCTCCTCATAATACACTAGAAGTCAAGTTGATCTTTGCAGGAGCCTCTGCTGGGATACAAGGGAAGCCCTTCAGCAACCCATTCTTCCAAAGCCAGAGTTCTTTCCCCCATTGATTGGACATCCTTTAGTTCTTTCCAGGTGTGGAAGTGAATGTTTATCTCCTACTGAAATTTTATGCACACAAGGTAATATTATAGAAATTTATATATGATATAATTCACCATAAAGTATCTGCATATTCTTTTCTCGTTAGCCAGGAGACATTATAGACTTAATTCTGACTGAGAAGGACACTTGTTAAACAATTTCTTGGTAAAAAGTCTATCGTACGAATCATCTGGGCAGAGTTATACTAGAAGAGACTGTTACAGCCTAGGAACAAGTACCCATAGGAGTGTGATATGGTCATGGAGCTCAGTGTGACTAAAATCTGTGTCATCAGCATGTATGTAGTGGGTGTTGTACTCTCTGCTGAGTAGCTCAAAGTTGTCTGCTGTTACTGGTTAGTAAAGGTGGCTAGACAGCTGGAGTCGTCCACACAACATGAGTTTCCTGTAGAGCAAAGGATATTCAGGAAAATCCTTTGCAAGCCCATTCGTATTTAGACACATAGACACTAGGTTTCCACTGGACACTCTAGATCAATGGTTCATAATTTTTGCAATTCTCTCACCCTTTAAATAGCACTAACAGTAGTTACTCATGTTGTGGTGAACAATACACATAATTGTTTCATTATTTCTTAACTTTAATTTTGCCACTATTATGAATCATAATTCAAATATTTGATTGC